GGCGAACTCCCATGCACCCTCCAGGACCCTGCTGAGGGTGTAGAGCTGGTCCAGTGTTCCACGACCAGGACGAAAACCACACTGCTCTTCCTAAAAATGTTAACACATTGTAAAAATGATTGTAATTTGTTTCAAATATTAAAATAATTCCTAACATTTCTTTATTTTTTAAAAGTAATTTAATACCAAATATTTCTAATGCTAGTTGTTTTATGTTAAACATTTGGATAAAGTTGCCGCTAACTGGGTTTTATTCAGTTTCTGTTTATTGTGAAGTTGGTCTTAAATTTAAATTCAAGTGGCATTAAAGAGGTCTTAAAAAGTCTTAAATTTACCCTGCCTTAAGCTGTAGGAACCCTGTTAAAAGAGTTTTGATGTGCGGTTCTGAATGTTGCCTGAATGATCAAATCTGATTTCTCCTCTTTGTGCCCTGAGTGTGTTTACCCCCATATCACTGGCCAATGTAGGTAGAATCCCCTGACACAGGTCAGCGCCAGTCCTGAGCTGGCTCTGTGTGAACCAGAGTAACACGAGTGAAAGTAGTGAACAGCAGCAGAGCACTGTTCTGATGTTCTTCAACAGATCTTGATAGAGCTGGAGACGGCCTTACTCGACGACAAGCCCCACTGGTATCCCCTTCAGACCCATGATGTCTCATCCATCCCACTGCCTCGACCTTCCCCCTACCTGCCCAGACGGCACACGGACACAAATGGCAAGAAGCTGCAGCGTAAGTCTGAGACAGGGGAAACCCTTTCATTCTGTGGATTTACCTGCCTCTCTCTGTGTGTGTGTGAGAGAGATGTGTGTGTATGTGTGTTATCACTGAAAGAGAGACTGTGAATGTTTTCCTCTCATTGAGCAAATTACGTCTGTCAATATAAATGTCTGTTTTCACCTCTGTTTCCTTTGTGCATGCGTGTAAATACATGTATTTATGTATGTGTGTGTGTGCTTGTGACTGTTTAGGTTCTCAGCGTGTAACAGAGCCTGAGTTTGATGAGGGTACAGCAGTAGTATCTAAAGGTGGGTGGGTTAATGTTTCTTCACATCACGTACTGTCTCCCCAGAGCTTTTGTTTCTTAGTTGTCGTTTTTGAGAATTTCTTGGTAACTGACAGCTTAGTTGCAGATTTCTGTCCTGAAATAAATTCACACACTCCAGTTTTTAATGATAATTTAAGTGGCTCCTATGGTTGTGGAAGCCAAACCTTGGGAGGAATTTAAAGAGGCCATGAAAAGAACTTTTGATTGGCCTCAAGGAGGTTCTCATGTATGCAGTGCTCATCCCAGAATGTGCTTGTACTGGGTGGGAAACTGCTGACCTGGATTGGGACATTGTCAGAGACCAGAATGAACGATTTGAAGACCTCCTTAATCCAGTCATCTTGTTCACCTTAGAGGAAATAGAGTCTGGTCTGAGAGCTCAGGGAAAGGTGAGTTACCTCGGCAGAGGTCGACAAGGTAGTTATAAAACTGTCTGGTGGCAGGATGTCAGGTCTGAACAAGATTAGTTTTGTCATGCTGAACACTGGACATTGTGGGGCTGATGGTCTTCTTCAATGTCACATGGTGAGCTGGAACACCTGCAGAGGGACGGACTGGGCTGGTGGTCCTAAATTAAAAAGTGGGGGCTAGAAAGTATGTTCTAACTGTTGCGAGATCACACTGCCAAGCCTTTTGCATTGAAAAGAGTGAACTGGGCCTCCTTGCACCACCCTCTGGATGTTCTCCAGGCATTGGGACCCTGAGGGAGGACCTGGAACGTAGTGAAACGATTATAAACCAGTATCTCTACAATAACTTTATCAGACTCAGTCAACTAACCAGTTTTACTCTATATTTTTTGAGTTGCAGTAGATTTGTAGTCGATTGAAACACAAAATTCCCACTCTAAATGGGACTCTGAAGTAGCAAATGGAAATTTGGAACTTATTTTTTATATAATGATTATGGCGTACAACTTTTATCTGGTCTGGGGAAGCATTGAAAGAAGTTGAATGGATGGATGGGTGTGTGTATAGATGGTATTTCTGAGTTTGATGTGAACATTTCTTTTGTTGTATATTAAAAAAGTAGTTCAATAAAACATTTTTCTACTTTTTTTGGTTTTATTTTTAATTTGGTTCACTTTGTCTAAGTTTCCAACAATGCACAGAATGTTAAGCTTAACTTAAATAAAGTGAAACTAGTCAGTTGACTGAGTCTAATGAAGTCACATCCTGTTTATCTACAATTCTGATTTTCTTTGAATAAAAGTAAAGGCATAAGTCAAGAGAAAACAACCTAATGTAACTGTATAAAATCTTATAATATGGTTCAAAAAGTTCAAAATTATTACAATTTTGTCAGGAATAGAAAATAACTAAGTTTTTTTTTTACAGGTTCCAAGGTTATAAGTAGTATTTAAATGTAACATGAATTAAGCTCTTGTGTAAAATAAATTATTAAATGAAGCTATAAGATTCAGTAAGCATACTCTTTTAAGAATATTGCTGTAAAAAAAACTTGAGTGAATTTAAAATCATGTAAAAAAAACAAAACATGGACTTATGCTTATGTTTGATGTACATGCACCTGCACATCCAAATGTCCTTCTCTTGTGTCTGCATGTGTTCACACATTTGCTGTATCTTTATGTCCTGAAGCAGACAGCTGCGGCAGGGAGAGGCAACGGGAGCCCACGACCACCCTTGAGGTACCCGATCAGCAGCGGACACCCTCCCATCACATCCGTTCCCGCTCCGTGTCCCCGCACCGTGAGGAGCAGGGCCGCAATCGATCCCGAGCACCTAACGTTCCCGCCCAGAGGTTAGACACAAACATCTAATGATGCATTTGTTTCTTCCTTTACATGCTAATAATGCTAATAATGCTAATAATGCTAATGCCAGAGGTGGTGGGTACAGTTCCTCTAATCTGCTATTTTTTTTTTTGCTAACTTTGGAAACTGTTAGCGGACCGATTAGCTTCAGCTAAATTATTTTCAGCTAATTTTAAGTTCACTAAAAATTTCCAAGAGTCAAACTTATTTTTATGCCATTTATACCAAATTAAATAAAAAATATATCCTCTTACAAGCAGTGCTGGACATATCAGGCACCATATGTGTAGCATGTAGCATCAGTATTCAGTGTCAGGATGGAATAAAATAACCTTTAACCAGAGGTTTATAGTAACTAAGTACATTTACTTTGGTACTTTTTTTTTGAGGATTGGTAATTTTACCAATTATTTTTTAAATAGCTACTTTTACTTTTATTTCGTTACATTTTAAAGCTAAAAATGATACTTTTACTTTACTTTAAAAGGTAACACCTAGTTATTTGTTACAAAATTAAATATGTTTGAACTCATCATGAAAGAAGATGTTTCTGCACTCTAAACAATGAAGTGTTGAATTTACTACAAAGTTATGTTAACTGACTCCACCAAGCCTTGTCAAGTAACCCAACACAGCCAGTCGAGGCAGATGGCCGCCTGTCCTGAGCCTGGTTCTGCTGGAGGTTTCTTCCTGATTAGCAGGGAGTTTTTCCTCTCCACTGTTTGCTCAGGATGGGAGACTGTGATGAAGTGATTCAACACAATCTGCTGGTTTCTTCTTTACATTATTATTTTATGTACAGTGCCCTGAGACAATGTAAGTTGTGACTTGGCGCTTATATAAATAAACTGAATTGAACTGAATTAAACTGAGCAAATAATATACATATTTTGCTCAGTTTACTCAAACTGGCTTAGTGGAACCTGTTAGGTTCAGTAAACTCAATAGTTTATTTCTTTGAGAGTGTGTAAAAGTACTTTTACTTTTACTTTCCCAATTTCTGTGAACAGTTTTATGATTTTTAGTTTTCTCATCAGTGAAATTTATTTTTATCAAAGTCCTTTTCTGTTCATGTAACTTTACTTTTACTTAGTTGTGTATTTCAAGTACTTTGACCTCTGCCTTTAACAGTATTTAAGTAACTAATACAAAAAATGACTACATAAAAAGTATGGTAGAGAAGGAATTTGCTATTTGTTTGACTAACTTCCAAAGGTGTTTATAGAAATTCAAACTCAATCAAAGATATACGTTAGTTGAATTTACACAGTAAACCATTTGGTTTTCCACTAATCAGAAGCACAAAAAACTACAAGGACTTCTTCTGTTTTATATACTGTATATATATATATAACAGAAAAAAATAAAATTAAATAAAAAAAGCCAATAGCTACTTCCCTTACTGAAGAGTCAGAAATAGTGCTTTTGGACTTTACTGGAAGGAGATGAAGACACAGGCTGAGTGACAGTCATCTTAGAGGTTAGCATTAGCTTCCACTAACTATGAAACTGTTTAGCTGTTTGATGTTAGTGGACCTGAGATACTTATTTAGCAGATTAATTAGTAACCCTAGTTTTTCGGTTAGCTGTGCCCACCACTGTCTAATGCTAAAAAAACCCCCGTCATCAGCCCGGTGGGGGGAAGAACAGGGGGGGCGTCACTTAAAGAGGAAAGAATTTTGTTGGACGGGAACAACCTGAGTCGATCTGCTAATGAAGTGGCTGTTTGATGCAGAACACACACTGCCGCCAGCTCTGCTTTTACAGACTGAATGAAAGAGGCTGCGGCACCACCACAACCC